CTCTGTAGAGCTTCCCTACCCTGAAGCAGATCGGCTTGGGTTCATCTGCAAACTTACTGAGGGTGCACTTAATCCCCTTGTCCAGATCATTGATAAAGATGTTAAACAGAACTGGTCCCAATACTGAGCCCTGGGGAACACCACTTGTGACCGACCACCAACTGAATTGAACTCCATTCGCCACCACTCTTTGAGCCAGGCCATCCACCATTTTTTTACCCAGCAAAGCACATGCCCTTCTAAGCCATGAGCAGCCAGTTTCTCCAGCAGAATGCTGTGGGAAATGGTGTCAAAGACTTTACTAAAGTTCAGGTAAATGACATCCGGAGCCTTTTCCTCATCTGCTAAGCAGGTCACCTTGTCATAGAAGGAGATCAGGTTAGTCAAGCAGGACCTGCCTTTCATAAACCCATGCTGACTGGGCCTGATCACCTGATTGTCCTGTATGTGCTGTGTGATGGCACTCAAAATGATCTGCTCCATAACCTTCCCCAGCACTGAGGTCAGACTGACAGGCCTGTAGTTCCCCGAACCCTCTTTCTGGCCTTTCTTGTAGATGGGCACCACATTTGCTAACTTCCAGTCAACTGGGACCTCCCCAGTTAGCCAGGACTGCAGATAAATGATGGAAAGTGTCTTGGTGAGCCCTTTGCCAGTTCCCTTGGTACCTTGGGTGGATCCCATCCGGCCCCATAGACTTGTGTGTGTCTAAGTTGTGTATCAGGTCATTAACCATTTCCCTTTGGATTATGGGGGCTTCATTCTGCTCCCTGGCCCTGTCTTTCAGCTCAGGGGGTTGAGAACCACTGATCTTAGTATTAAAGGCTGAGGCAAAGAAGTCATTAAGTACCTCAGCCTTTTCCTCAGCCTTTGTCACTATGTTTCACCCCGCATCAAATAAAGGATGGAGATTCTGCTTAGCTCTCCTTTCGTTGTTAGTGTATTTATGGAAGCATTTTTTTATTCTCTTTTATGGCATTAGTGAGATTAATTTCTAGTTGGGCTTTAGCCTTTCTAATTTTCTTCCTGCATAACCTCATGATGTCCTTGTAGTCCTCCTGAGTTGCCTGCCCCTTCTTCCAAAGATCATAAACACCCATTTTTTTCCTGTAGTATCTTGACAGACTGGAATGTTGTTTCACCAGATTATGGTCTGCATTGCAATCTCTACATCTGAATTAGTCTAGATTATATTTCCCATTTTCAGGTGAATGACATAACAAACTAGTAATTCATTGTTTCATTGGTGGAGGATTTTCTTTTTTGTCTGTGAAGAAACAACGAAAAAAGCCCCTTTGAAGTGTTAGTCATGGTAGACATATTTTTTTTCCTTTTCAATCCTTTCTTTAGTAGTCTGTTACACTTGAGAATGATGATAACGAACAAAAAGGAACTAATCAATTTGCAGTGTGATTCCGTATATTCATGGTATATTCTGAGATTGCAATCATGGGCGAAATTATTCAAGAGATGAACCAAAGAGTAATTAAAGTTAGTATGGAATTGGAATAGAGTTTTTCCTCTGTTGTACTATAAAGCAAAAACTCTGTCTTCTGATACAAAGAACTGTTCATAAAGTTGATATTTGAGACAGTTTAAAAAGAAGAGTGGAGGGAAAACCCAGTTTTGTTCATGAATTATTTCATTTCACTGGAATCAGATGGCTTACATTTAAACAAGAGTTGTTATGCTAAAGCCAAATCTTAATATTGAGACTGAAAATGCCCAGAGACTTGTAGGAAGGATAACCTAGTGAAGTTTGGAGGACAAGCCCTGAGACTGCTTTAAAAAGTTGAGAGGCATGTTTTACATTTGCCTGCTAATAAAGTAACCGGTAAAAGCTTCCATGCCTTTGGACCCCAATGTCCTTTTCCACTGTGAGGTGCAGTTGTTTAATGTTGCTCTTGTGTATAGCATTTAAGTTTTATAACATAGGCCAAGCAGAAGAAAGAGCATGAGATAGGGGAGCTTCAAAATTAGCTCACTGAGGTAGCGTAAGACTGTTTTAAACTGTGATCACACACTGAGCAAGATGGAATTTATTCCTGACTGCAGGTGGTAAGAGAATACTGCAAAGCCTAGCATGCTGACATGCACCATTGACATGGGTAGGTTCATACTCCTGCCTCTGCAGGGGATTACTGATGACCTGTGTATGGCAATATGTGATATCTGGGCAGGGCAATCTGCTTGGTGCCTGTGGATTAGGCAAAACTGGCAGAGAGTCCTTTGGAGCCCAAAGACTGAGAGGACATACTAGCAGACTTGCACTGGCAAGCGCTGAAGTAGTGAGATCATCAAAACAAAATGAAAGCCGTGGAAGGTGTGACATTCAGACCTGGGTTAGACGAGCTTTTCTTCTAATCTTCAATGCTAATTGCCCTTAATGAGACGCTTGCAAGCAGAAGACCTGGGTGTCCAAGTTGTGTTGCACAGTATTTTCCATTGGGCCTAGAAAATATTAAAGTAAATTTAAAGGTAAAACTTAGCCAAAAGAAATAGAAGAGCCTTCTTTACAGGAAGTACTTTTGACCTGTGGCTGCCAAACTGTTTTAATGAAGAAAAGTCAGGAGCTTTCCTTTGTTTCACAAGTATGTTCTTGCAGCTGGCACAATGTGTTTTTTCTCAGCATGCCTAGTGGTTTGGAGGTTGGGGGGGGCTTTGAAATGGAGATTGAGTTTTCCTTGGGCTTGCTTTGAAGCTGTCTGTTTTCTGTGTGGAATTTGAATTTAGAATAATTTCACCGCTTAATGCAGGTTGCAGTACTACTTACTGCCTTTAAGAAACAACTGCAGCATATTTACATAGTTTTTATTTCTCTTATTTTAGGTCTTAAGCATCCAAGTGAAATGTTACCATGAAATCATTACTATAGGTTACAGAGTCTACCACTCGTATGATTTACCATGGTTTAGATCCCTCAGCTGGTGAGTAGCAAGCAAGAACATCAATAAGTAGGGATGTGAAACTTAAATCTTCATGTACTTTGTACCATGTCAATGTGGAATGATAGCTTTGTAGGTCATGTATGGACATAAAACTTGACATCTGTCTCTGATACAGAATTCTGTAGTTGCCTTCCATTTGGACAAATCAGCTGGCCTTTTACTACTTAATTTCTTTTCCTTGTTATAAGTATGTATATATGTACATATACATGTATGCATGCATATATGCTCTAAGTCAGAATTGAGCATGTGTAAGCTATCTGAAAATGTGCATAGCCAAATAATCACCTGATTTGCATTACCTGAACTGCTTTGATTTTTTTTTTTTTTTGGCTGTTAGCCTTGCAGAAGAAATAAGTAGAACAGATGCCTTAAAGGCTCCTCTTCACACACACAGAGAATTAAAATAATAATATACAAGTTTTAAATCATTTTCAATCATGCAGTTGATCACAGGACTGCATAAATATAGTGTTGGGAGATCTTCTGAAAGCCGAAAGATGAGATTAATTTTCCTGGCAAATCCCAGATACTTGTGACAATGTCCAATTTATATAGGGCTGGATAGAACTGGGGGGAGATCAACTCCTCTTCCGAGGTCTAGGAGGAAAAATAAGGGCTTTTGATTAGAATCAGCATTATGGGAAGGTGTTTGGCACATGTAGTCTCTAAGGTGCTTAAGGACATAATTCTTCAGACGTGACCTATGTTACGTTGTTTTGGTTTTGTGTTGGATTTGATTTTTTAAGGAATTGAAATAGCTAGGTTATTCTCTGCCTCTTGTCACATTGCTTCTTCACTTCTAGAAGCAACTTTACTGTGCAATGTGGTGGATTCCTGCTGTTTGCTCTTCTGTAAATGCTAATCAGTTCCCCTCTAGTCACTCCTGGGTTATCCAGGGGACTGATCTATTGTCTGCTTTATTCCATGGCTTCTGGGTCCACAGGTAGAGCAGACTCATACAGGAATTTGCAGTCTTGCCAAAATTTTTAGAGGAGGAGATGTGCGCTCTACGGCTTAGTCTACTTTGTCAGTTGACTACTATCACTTTCATATGTGGAGCTCAGAATCAACTCCTCTGCGTTGCCACACTAGTTAACATCAAAGCTCCTTTCAGTCCAAGTCTTGCCACTGAGACTAATATTAAGACATTACAGCGAGATGAGAGGAATCTGTTAGTAGTCTGAACATCAACTGTTTGGCTTATTTAGAGATATGAAACCTTGCCAAGTGAGCCTTAACATCTATTGAGGGGAAGACAATGAGTAATGATCTCTCTGAGACCATGTGGAGATCCAGTCTTGAATCACAAGTTTTTGTCTTCTGTGGCTGACTTTGGTAATGAGCTGAAGAGTATGTTGCCTAGAGAGGTGCATCTCTTAATGAGTTTGGATTTGCTATTTATTGGTTTTTATTGAATGCTGCCTTGGCATTTAAGGATCCCATTGTGACCTAGCTCTAGAAAGATGGATAACTGAACTTGGATGAAAACTTGTGACAGAATTACTTGGGTACTGACTGTTTTGACTGAAAGGAATTTCTCTGAAGATCCTTCAAAAAGAGATGGCTGAAGGTGACATTTCACCTCATTTGAACTTTGGGTGTGGACATACTCCCACAAAATTGTTTAGAAAAACTTGTAGTAACAGCTGGATTTACTAGCTAGTTGATGGATTTAACTCTGTAGGATTATTGCTCGGTCAAGAAAGCTAAAAGGCAAAGCATGTGGTGAAGTGAGGCAGAAGATGCAGCAGTAACTCTTTCAGACAAGAATCTTCAGGCCAGATGGCAAAAGTATAGTTACATTCAGATCCTCAAGCCCCATGTCAGATTCACTGTCCTATAACCTCCGAGAATTTGTTATGCAAGTGCCTTTTTTCCTGTTTGTAAGGCAGAAGTCACAAACTACCCTTATTAGGACACAGGAAAAGAATATGCAGAACTACTTGTGTCAATATCAATGGTAGCAGATACTTGTTCTGTACTTTTAGAATATCTGAAAAGGACTTGCATAGGTGTGGAGTATTCAATCTGTAGTTAGGGATGAAATTAGTTTTCCAACTGTATCTTGCAAATGTTTTTCTAGTGTGGTCACTTTAGAAGTAAATTACAAAATCTGGCTTGTCAGAGGAGACACCGACCCGGAACCATAAGACTGGATCTATACTTGAATTTTATTTTTATCCTATGTATTTTCTACCCTTTTGGTTTTCCTTTTGTGTGGTGTTTTTTGTTGTGGGGTTTTGTTTTGTTTTTAAGAATGACACTTAAATATATATTATCTTGTTAAAATAACTGCTAGCTGGTTTATGTTGTAGGTACTTTTTGCTCTGTGTGAACTACTTCTTTTATGGAGAGACTGTAGCCGATTACTTCGCTACGTTTGTTCAGAGAAGAGAACAGCTGCAATTCCTAATTCGTTACCACAGGTTTATATCTTTTGCACTCTATTTAACAGGTAAGTGTAGGAAATTGCAAAAATGAAAGAACTTTGTGCTGCATTTGTTTCTGTGCTTATTTCTTTTTTTTTTAAAAAAAAAAAAAACAACAAACTGCTCCCCAGCTTTGTGCATGTTCAGTTTCTTTTCCTCTTGATGTTTGAGGAAATTAGGTGGTCGCAGTTCCATTTTTCCTGTGAAAAGTTGCATATGAATTTTGTGTTCACTGAGAAGAAGAAAGCCTAAACAAGTAGAAGATCTTGAGAAAGTTGGGCTAATAGCACTCAAAAAAAGTTGTCATGAAGTAACTTTGGTTGCTGAAGAACTGGGGCTCAGTACCTGAATACATGAACGCTATTTTGGCAGTCTGTAGAGATGACTTCTATACGTAATTGCTGTGCTGAGTTGATGCGTTATTGTGCAAGTGTTCTGCTAGGTCTACAGCAATAAGATTTACCAGTGTATTTTAAAATGATTATTCAAAATGCCTGAGGCTTTATTTTGTCTGCAAAATATTCAGATGCTTGCCTCATGGATAGATTTCCCTCCCTACCCAAAGAAAGACTTTTTAAAAGCCTCGTCTCTAGGAAGGAGAGACATAAGCTGACATTCTTGTGGGGTGTTTCTTTGTGAACATGTAAATATAGTCCACGACATTTTCAGCAATGCAGTTAAATTTACTTTAGCCTAAAATTAAATCAATTGAAGACTCAGACTGGCCTAAGGGACAGGAGACTGTTATGCTACAAATACTTGTAAAATATATTAAGAAATCTGATCTTCATAATGAGCTGTCAGTCTGTCTATTGTTAATTTTTCTTTTAAAACCAGATAAAAATTCTACTCAGTACTTAGATTGCAAACTTGAAACCAGCTTTGCAAGACTTGACCTTTTTCAGCTGGCTTTGGCTTGAGGAAACTAACTTAACTAATGCCTCGTGACTGCTGAAGGGCAATGAGGGGAGAGATGAGACAAGCCAGTCATGAGCAAAAGCAGGAGGCACAGTGTAGCAGAGCCCTTTATCACCTGTCACATTGGGATTGTGGGGTCATTGAGGGGCTGTCCCCAGGGTTAAGGGCCTTCTGAGGGCCTCTGACCGCTGCTGGTGCAGGAAGTTGCCCTAGGGGAGAAGGGGTGCTCTGTTAGCCACTCAGAACATTTCTTTCAGTCAGTTGAATTCTCCAACACTTGCTCTTTGCGCTTGCATTGGCTGCAGTCATGTGCCTGCCTCGGGGAAAGGGGCAAACTGCTCTCTTCCTTGCAATTATTCCTGTTAGTTTTTCAAACCCACCTTGTTGACCTGGTTTTTGAGTGGTTTTTAAAGGTGGTGGTCTCCTCCCCTAAAAACTGGTGTCTACGATGGGACCTTGTAAGTAATGAAGTGGATGCTCTTTACTGATGTTAACTAAATCTTGTGCTCTAATGAGAATAATTCTATAACTGAATACAAGCAAATGCTCCTAGCAGCAAAGGGAAAAACCGCTTCGATGGAAGAGAATTACTGGTATGTCATAGTTCAGTGTAATTAAATATAAGATGGTACAAACTACACTTGCTTTGTTTTACAGGCTTCTGCATGTTTGTTTTGAGTTTAGTGAAGAAACATTACCGTCTGCAGTTTTACATGGTGTGTATTACCCACTTTGCTGTGGTCACTCACATTATGAATGTCACTAGAAACAGTCATGTCCCTATGTTCATGAAATAGCTTGGAAGAGGGGTGTGGAAAATGTGCTTAAACCAACAGTAACATAAAATCAAGTGACGTTGGGCTGTTCAGTGTCTGTTCACCTTGCAGCTTATTATTATTATATCATGGGATGTGGCCTTTTAGTCAATGCAAGCTGTCATTGGTGAGGCCTTGTGCATACAACGTGATATGTTTCCCTTAGTGATAGGCTGATAGGAAAGAGATTCCTGGAGAAAGGGGTGTGCATCGCCCTCTTGGGTCCGAAGCCAAATAGTTCAGAGTAGCATGGGAAGTGGTTCTCGTGACTCAAGAGTTACTTTGTAGAGGCCCCACTGAAGTACTATGAAGGGTACTTGGTCTTAACCCCTATATGGAAGACTTATTCTATGACAACAGCAGTTCTAGTCTTCTGTTCTGCTGTGCTTCAATGAATCATTAATCTATTAAAAGAAACCAGCCTTCTTATCTCTTCTATTTGTCCACCTAATAAACGGCATATTAGCTAATCAAGAACATGAATCTTTTTCTTATGTGGAGTAACTTCTTTACTCTGGGGGTAGCAGAGCACTGGAACGGGCTGCCCAGGGAGGTTGTGGAGCCTCCTACTCTGGAGATATTCAAAATCTGCCTGGACGCAGTGATCCTGTGCAACCCACTCTAGCTGAACCTGCTTTAGCAGGGGGGTTGGACTAGTTCACCCCCAGAGGTCCCTTCCAACCACTACCATTCTGTGATTCTGTGATCTTATAGGTCAAAAACTAATTTTGTAACGTCACCGGTTAAAAAAAACCAAACCACAACACCAAAAAAAAAAACCCACCCCAAACCTAAAAACCCCACTGAACCACACCACACCACACACACACACACACACGCACCCCGCTTCTGTATAGGAATGATTAGAAGCATCACCGGTTAAAAAAAAACAAACCACAACACCAAAAAAAAAACCCCACCCCAAACCTAAAGACCCCACTGAACCACACCACACACACACACACCCACCCCCACACCCCGCTTCTGTATAGGAATGATTAGAAGCAACAGTAAAACAGTAATGCAGTACAGCTCCTGTCTTTAAAGAACTTGAGCAGTCAAGGTATTGCACATTAGTGATTTCCTAAAGCTCCAGAGATGCAGTTAACCTGTCTGTTTCTACGGTGCTTTAGGTAGCACTTTACCGTGGAGGATCCCCAAATCTAGACTAGGACTTAGCTAAGCCCTGTATGAAAATGTAAAAATGTCTTTTACTCCAAAACATTTACCTTGTTTGTGGGAGAACTTGCCTGACAGGGAGATGCAGCTTTTCTAGGAGAGGTGGTCTTTATCTTCTAATCTGCAGAAAATCTCCTCATCTTCAGATTGGCACAAAGTAAATATATTAACTTTCCAGGGTTTTTTTTAGTTCTTTTTCCCTTTCTGGAAAGAAGGCAGAAAAAAATGTCGTGTCAGTCATATGACCTGGTGCCTGCCTAGAAAACATTAAGGTGTGACTACCTAAGAATCTCAGTAAACCAGAGAGAATCCATGTATTCACCGTGTGGCAACACAGTGTCTGGACAGACAAGGAAGTACTCATTTGGGTTTAGGTCGTGTTCCAATATCACTGTACAAATACTAAAAAATTTGCTGCAGAGATGCTTTAATTAACCAGCAGATAATATTTTCAGAAACTGTTAGTCAGTTCTTGCACCCCCTTTTCAGCCTTCTTGACTTGTCTTAACTGGAAGTAGAGGCTGGCTGCCATAGGAAAACACATGTGATACAGGAATTAAAGAAGTAAGACATTAAGAGTGTTAAATTGCCCGACATTGACGGTGCTTAAATTTGGTGTTTTGTGGGAAAACTACCAGTTCTTGATTTAAAAGTTTTTTGAAAATAAAATCTATTGTAGAATCTTTTACTGGTAAAATGTTTGAAAACCATTTTATGGTACACTGGCGCTACAGAATAAATACCAAGTACGTACCGTAATACTGAGGAAAATGACCATGTTTATAATGGTTTTTAATGACCATGTGCATAAAAATTAGCACTACTCCTGAGAATTTTCCAGGTATTTCCAGAGGACTGGTATTCTGTTATGAGAGAGATTCACATCTGTGTAACATGACTCTTTCATGAGTAGTTCATTGCCATTTTATTGTTACAGTTCTAACATGTCTGTTATATGTATATACAGAATATCACATTGCTTACATTTCTTTGCTGCTTTCATGCTGAAGGTGTATGTCTTGTTAAACCAGATGTTAAACTGCACGTTAAAAAATTCTGGGTGGAGGTAAGTGATGGAGAAACCTGTTAAAGTTTCAGTACTTGCTTAAGAAAGCCAGCTAACTTGTGATATACTGTATGCACACATCTCTTGCATTATCACTAGAACTGCTCTTTCCTGTGAGCTCCTAAGTAGCTCCTCTAGCTAACACATCAGTATTTATCAAGGTGTATGGATCGATGTTTTCACTAACTGTTGTGTTGTTGCATTGTTAACAGTTCGCATGGACTCATGTCACTTTGCTGATCACTGTAACTCAATCTCATCTTGTCATCCAAAATCTCTTTGAAGGCATGATCTGGTAAGGGGACAGTAATAAAGTGATTTGTAACTGTTGCATTGAAAGGTTGGTTCTTTTACAGAGGTCTGGTAATGTGGGAACAGTTACAGCAGCACAAATTAAAGGAACATTAATGTCTAGTTGGAAGGGTAGTCAAAGGAATTTGGAGTGATGAGGTAAAGGATACAGTAGCAGAAGCAGAAACCTCTTTAACTAGATTGGCAGCCACAAGTATGACAGTTTTGAACAACCGCTTCATTTAATTGCAAGGATTAGGATTGCTTACATGCTTGCTGAAATAGTTTCCACAGCATTTTGCTGAGTGGATGAATATCCAGCAATTCTTTTTCAATTACTTGGGAGCTTCAGGTTGCTCGGAGCTATGGAAGTTGGACCATTTAATCTGAAATCCCCAATGTGGCTGCCTTTCCTTCTGCCTCCCTGTTCAGATAAATTCAGATTACTTAGAATATTTCAAGAGTTTAAATCTTGGAGATTGTTGGGTCATCTTAATGCCCCATTTCCAGTGATACATTAAATTCTGGTGATGCAGTTAAACTTGATTACTTAAAACCGCTCCTCAAAGAGAGGGTATGTTTTCCCACCCCCCACTTCTTTAGGGACAGGGTAAATTACAAGTAGAAAAAGAAGGCAGGAGCACCTGGAAGATGATTTGTGTTCTTCCAAGGATGTAATACTGCATGTTCTCATTTTTCTTTTACTGGTATATGTACAGCTGGGGAGGTTATTGCAAAAAAGACGTGCTTATAGAAAGAAACACAAAGCCTTTGACAAAGTTCATATAAACAAATTCTTTTCATAGCAATCGTGTTCATGTGCCAAAAACTGAACTTAATTTTCTTGCTAGCCTACTATTTCTTATTTGCACTGGTGCCAGGCAGTTTGGCGGATAGTTACAAAATTTGAAAAGGGGAAAAAAAAAAAGAGGTTAACGGGCTTGTGAGTAACAAATTCAGATGCTGTTTGCATGCAAAGAACACTAAGAAAGCTAACACAGGCTGCTCTAAACTGACCAGAGGAAAAAAAAGGAAAATTTCTTTTTTAAAATGTAAGTATCATTAAACTTTACAAGGAATTTGTTTGCTTTGATGTTACCAGTAACTTTAACATGATTATATCTGTTGATTTCTTCTTAACTGTGGTACCAGTCTTCAAGCCTGATAGGAAAAAGCCAGCCTGTTCACGTTTTGGGCTCATGCAACAAATTCACAGCTTAACTTGAGCTAACATGGATTTGTAATGGTCTTGATTGGCTGAAGACTAAAACCAGTATAGCTAAATATGCTGCTCATGGGGGAACTAGGTGAACATGTTCTGAAACATAATTCTTTCTAAATATCACAGAAAAATTTCCCTGAAAGAAATGATGCTGTTTCAATTTCTGTCGTCTTTTCAGCTTTTCTTTTTCTCCATGAAACTTTTAATGTCTTTCTCTAGGTTTCTGGTTCCAATTTCAAGTGTTATCTGCAATGATATTACTGCTTACATTTTTGGATTCTTCTTTGGCAGAACTCCATTAATTAAGGTATGTACGTAGGCACTTCCTCACTAACAAGCTTTTACAATTTATAGCCTTTTTGATACTTGTTCAAAAACATGTTCATGGGAAAAATACTTTCTGCTGTACTGCATGATGCACATCTTTGCTTAAAAAACAAGTTGACTATCCTGTTTCTGAAGATTTGTAAGTGGAAATTGCGATTAATGTGTATATAATATTGACATTACAGTATAATACAGTTCAAGCCTATTGCATCATCATTTATAATCACTTTTTTTGGATTTCAAATGCAGGTTTAACTGCATGCTTACTGTACAGAAACAACAAATGTAATTTGAAATAAGCCAGTAGGCCATATATACCTATTCCTCATTTGGTCTTGTTGACATAGCACTGAGAAGGGCTCAAGTAGTAATATTCCTATTCTGGTAGAATATGCAAGACCCCACAGAAAGCCATGAATTATTCTCATAATGTTGCCATGTTAACTTTTGGATATTTCACTAGTTCTGATATTAACCTGCTCCTAAATTGAAAACAGGATAGAATTTGATGAAGAAAATAGCTGGCTACGCTGACCTCTCTAGACCTGCAGTTATTTGCTCTATTAGTTTACCAGTCTGTACGTAGGAAGCTAGTGTCTCCCGAGGAGCATCCCCAGCAGTAGTTGTCTAACACCCAGGCTTCAGTCACTGTCTAAACCTGCACTTGCTAGCAGAGGTCTCCAACAGAGTCATAGTGCTCTCATGCAGGTTTCCAAGTCTTCTGCTTTGAAGGAGCTCAGCTGCTTAATCAGGGTCGGCTGTGGCCAGAGGCAGGCAGCACCCTCCAGATGGCAGCAGCAGATGGGAAGGGAGCTCTCCATTCCCTCAAGCTGCCCAGTGGCACCAACCAAACTGTGTCACTTTCCCTCTTATCTGGGACAGGTCCTAGCCACAATCCTCTATTTATCATGTTCAGTGTCTGCAGCTGCTGACATTCAGTATTTCAGTATATTATTTGAAAAACCAAGTAGGAGCTTAATTTTCACAAACAAGGTCCAGAAATAGAATAATAAAGGATTCAGTGATATGATGAGGCTAACGGTGTCTCTTTTGTTGCCTAGCTGTCTCCCAAGAAGACCTGGGAAGGGTTCATTGGAGGCTTCTTTTCCACAGTTGTATTTGGATTTATTGTAAGTAACCACAGGACTTTCTTTGTATAGGTTCAGTCCTCAACATCTGGTTTTTACTTTAAGTAATAAATGACAAATTTGGTTGTCTCAAACTGCT